GAATAAAATACATATTCATGCTATGCATATGCACTCACCTAGATTTCTTTGTCTTTCCCTCGATTGATCCTACTTGTCGATGGTTTCGGAACTCGATTAGGCTCAATATCTACATAAGAAACATTTTCAAGATGATTATCAGATGCCTAAGTCTTGAAATTAACCTCTAATACCCTACCAATTTAAGGGATTGATAGTTTAGTCTCTCTTCTTTCTTTCTTTTTTATGGGGGAATCGGTTCACCCCTGGGGGTATCAATTCCCCTCTAGCATTCTGGAAATTCATATTCATTTGAGGGGGGATCGATTCCCCTTGAATGGGTACCGATTCCCCTAGCCCAGAAATCTCATTTTGAGCTCGAAAATCACCTTATTTCAACTCAAACCTTCCTCTTTCACTCCCTTTAATATTCCTAACTTTAATACACATACTTAAACTCATTTCTACTCCATAATCACTTCTTTAAACTCCAAATCTAGTCATTCCTATGTAATTGCAAAAATTATACTAGTTTTGCAACATGTTCAAATTCCTATTCTAACACTTCATATCCCTTAATTAACTTGATGACAAGTCAAATCTCACTTCCAATTCTTATTATGAACTCTAATCTAATATTTCACTTTTCTACTTCCTTTCTTTAATTCTTCATATACTTCTCATCTTGAGGTTTTAAAATAATTTAAACTTCCTTTAAGCTTAACTATTGCCTAATGGTCATGAATCAACCATAAATTCATCAAGAAATTCACTAACAAGATCTTACCTTAACTTGGGTCTCACGTATGAAGGAGAAGAAATAAGAAGAGGACTCTGAAGCTTGTTTGATTTCCTATACTTCCACGTGGTTAATATAATACTAACCTCAAATAATTATATTACTATAAAAAAGACCATTTTGTCCTTATAATCCTCCTTCTTTATAATTCAATCCTACACAAAATAACTCAAATAAGTCATTGAACTTTTCCATCATTCTACTTTAAATCACCAAATGCTGAAACTTTACAATTTAATCACTAACCCGACATGGAGGATGTTACAATACATGGGTTTTATAATTGCAAGTTATTCATTCTATCCCGATTTTCTTAAACCATGTCAAATCCTAAACGTGCTAGGTCTTCATCTAGTCATTCAAACTAACAACCAAATCCACATCCAAATCCTCCTCCTATTCCTGAAATTCCTATTCCTAATCCGTTGATCCTAATATGACTATCCAAAACTCGTGCTTCAATCATCCTGGTCCTAGAAATCATCGTGTTTGGTATTATCAGTATTTTGACTCTTACAAAATTAGAGAAGAACGTATCCCTTCTCTTCAAGCTATGATAGATATCAATTTTAGATATCTTCCTCTTTTACAAGAGTGGAAATTTTATAAACTTTGTGACCTTGAACCTATAATTTACCATCAACTTGTTCGCATCTTCTATTCTAATGCCGTTTGTATTAAAAACCGAGCTCAAACCAAAACCATAGGAGTTCGTTCCTATCTCCTAGGACAATTCTTCCATCTTGACTCGGCTTACATAGCCAATAAATTAGGATTAGATAATGATGGTATATCAAATGAAAAACAGTTTTTAGGTTCTCGTTATAAAAGAAGGGATAGTGCGAGTGTCTTAGATCTTCATGATCGTTTCTTCATCTAATGATTTATTGGTGGTTTCGACCATCCAGAGGTCGTTACTCAACTCTTAGAGCCTTGGATCTTTGGTGGTTATATTGTTTCCAAAACAATATTAAAATAAACCTACCTCAGATTATTTTTGCTGGAATTGTTGAGACCGTAAACCTTGTTCCTAATAAGAAACTATGTTCATCTCTAGTTTACTGTTGCATTCTGATTAATCTATTTTCTAAAGCTGGGCTTAGAGTTGGTTTAGATGTCATCTTTCCTCTCAAAAAACAAATTAATCTTCTTTCCTTAACGAGAGCGGGATGGATAAAGAAGAAAGAAACTGGTGAATGTGTTCGATCTTCTGAGAATACTCCGGGAGCTAGTTCTTCACAAGCTCCACCAGAAGCTGACGACGATCCCGAGTTTGAACAATTAATGCAAGATATTGACGAAGCCGACGATGAGCCGAAGCAGCACGAGGAACAAGCTCAGCAAGAAGATCAAGTGCCTCCATATTTTCAAACATTTATGGAGACATTTGATTTCCATTATGCATCCTTGGATTCTCGCTTCACTTCCATAGAATCTCACTTCTCGACTATGGAAGCTCAACAATTGGAAATTCTCCGGGAGATGCGTGCAAACAATGAAGCAACCAACGCTCGTATTAATGCACTCACTCATGAAATGGCAACTATGCGAGCTCATTTCCCTCCTCCCGATCCTCCTACGGATGCTTGAACTTTGATCTTTGCTTTGCTTGTTTGGATTGAACTTGGATATTTGCATTATTGTTAAAACATTTTGAATGCTTTTGGATTGTTTATTTTTGGTTGTTCGAACTTATGTTTAATACATTTGATTTGGATTTCGTGTTTATTTTGCATCTTTAGACATATATGACCAATTATCCATTACATGTTTATGAATATTGATTATGAAACTAATGGCTAACCTCTCTTTTGATTGTGATCTTAGCAGCTTAAGCTTTATATTAATAAATCAATTGGCTTACGTTTTTCAAAATTCTTGTTTAAAACGTTTTATAGGGTCTTTTTGATTTAACAAAAAGGGGGAGAAAGTGTTAAAGTAAGGGGAGTAGTATTTTTCAAAATCAAAATTCATTTTGAAATTAGAAAATCTTAAAATATTTTGTTATATAAAAAAGGGGGAGATTGTTGAAAACATTTTGATGTTTCGATATAACAAATTAAATTAAAAGAATTTTAATTTTGAAAATGATTTTTCTAAGCATATTCGATATATTAAATCGAATATCAAAATATTACTCAAAGTATTTCAAAGTTCATTTTAAAATCCTTACTAAAGTGTAAAATTAAGTTTTAATCTTAAAATAATTTCAAAACAATTTTACAAAGTATTTCGAACCGTTTCAAAGCCAAAAATTACAGTTTGTCCATAGGGAACTGATTCCCCCAAAGGGGGTACCGATTTCCCCCTAAATGGTTTTGCTCCGAGAAATAACAGTGTGCTCGGAGGGAACCGATTCCCCCCAGGGGATATCGATTCTCCCCCACTGTTCAACGGACGAATATTTAAATTTTACACTTAGGGAACCGATTCCCCATGAGGGGATACCGATTCTCCCCACGCTCTAAGTAGAAATATTAATTGTTTTCACACTTAAATGGCTCCAATAACTTAATTAATGATCCCCAACGTTCAGAAGTTATTCAAGGTGTATTTAAACAAGCTTAGAAGCCATTGATCAATAACAAGAAACATTAAGCAACTAGAATCAAGAGAGAATCAAAGAGAAATCATCAAACCTCAAGTTTGAGCATTTCAAGCCTATTTTTCATTCAATATTTATTTTTCTTTCAAGAACACTTATTGTGCTCAATTATATTTATTCTTGAGTGTTATTTCTTTGTTCTAGAATTGTGCAAACATATTTCCTTGTGAGATTTTTCTTGTAAGTTTGCGAAATTTGTAATCTTCTCTTTGAGAAATAGTGTTCTCAAGAATTGACGTATAATTATTGAGTGAGTTGTAAGGTTATCTCTTTGGCCTCAAAAGAAAGAACAAATTAGTGAATTTGTTGGAAAATCCTTAGTGTGGATAGCTAAGGTAGTGGACGTAGACTTTGGTTGATAAAGTCGAGCCACTGTAAATCGATGTGCAATTACTTTCAATTTTCTGCAAAAGTTTCCACCAATTTTTTTATTACCAATTCACCCCCTCTTGGCCGATTTCATCGATCGATTAACTCAATACTGACGGTTGTCGATTTAACTTGTCAAGCTAGAATAACATCATTTTGGTGTGGTTGTTTTGATACCTAAAATAACTTCGTTTTAGACATTAAACTTTAGAGTTATATCAATTTTGCCACTAAAAATTTTAAATAACTTTTTAACATTACACTTTTTTACCGTCGTTAGCTCAATCACCACATATTATCAATACTAAAATGTTTGTATTTTATTATCTTTTTTAAATTATTTTTTCACAAAATTCACTTTAAATAATAAATTCATCCATATTAACAATAAATTAATAACAATCAAAATGAATAAATGATCGTTCCTAAAATTTTTAAATTTTTAAAAATTTAGATATTTTTTATTAAAATATAAAAGATAGGAACAGGGTCTTGCAATCATAAACTTGCGTGTTCTTCCCTTCGCCACTGACTAGTCGTTCTCCACTTCTCGCTAGGGATGACAATGGGGGTTCGGGTCGAGTATTGGTCCCCCGTCTCCGTTCTCGTTTAAAAAATCTATTCTCATCTCCGCTTAAAAAACCGCGGGATTTAAACGGGGATTCCCATCGGATAATGAGGAAAACCGTAGGGAAACGGGTATCCCTGTTTAACATAAACGGTTATTTAAACGGGTATCGGGTTGGTATATATATATATTTAAATTAAATATATAAATATTATATATATATTTTTAATTTAAATTAAATTTATTAATATTATATATAATAATTATTTTTAATATTTATCGGATCGAGTATCGGGTCGGATATCGGGTAATCGGGACAGAAATTACCGTCCCCGTCCCCATCCCCGTTTAACATAAACGATTTTTTCCTATCTCGTTTAATTCAATTTTCGATTTTCCCGGGAATTCGAATTTTTTTTTGCCATCCGACTTCTCGCATCTAATTCCGTCTCTTTCTCCCGCGTCCAACACCCAATATATATATATATATATATTAATTTATAAATAAATAAATAAATAATAATTTATAACCTTATTAATTTCCTTGCGCCTTCGACCTTTCCTTTCCCCAATCTTTTAGCCATCCTTCAGATTTACTTTCTCTAATTTTTTCCAATAAATTTAGCTATTTTTATTTTAGTTTACTGGGTATTGTTTCAGTTTTCGTTATTTTAAGCATTTGATGATATTTTTTCCTATTCTTTTTGTTGTCAATTCCTCTGAAATCTGTTGCTGATTTATGATAGAAAATTAGGGTATCATTTTGAGTTTCCGTTTTAAGATGGTTCCATGGGGTGGCATCACTTGCTGCTTGAGTGCAGCTGCTCTTTACCTTCTTGGGATCAGCAGTGGCAGGTTATCTCTTCTTCAACTGTATCAGTAACGCTAATTTCATTGTTATTTATCAATGTATTTGACGGATTTTTCAGAAAAAAATGTTTTAACCATTTCCGTGCTTAAATGATGGAACAGGGATGCACAGATTCTCAAGACGGTTACTCGGGTCAATCAGCTTAAAGAATTGGGTGTGTAGCCAATTCTCCTTCTACGTTTTATGTGATTGTTTGATTTCTTGTGTTTTGATCACTTTTAGAAGGAAATGTGAGAAGTAGGCAAAGAAATTGGACTTTAGTTTAAGTTTTCCAATTTTCTAATTTGCATACTATCAATCTCTCGGATTGGTTCTGCTTTATTATCGACCATTTAAGAATTTGTTGATTATTTTCTTATTTAGTTAACTTGGAACATCCTGGGTATTCATGTAGTTCACGGTCTGTCTTTGATATTTGATTTGCCTGCAGGTTGCTTGAGTATCAGTTTGACTTTCATTATTTCGTGTTAAAAATTCTGATAAGATTGGAAACATCATATGTCATGTCTACTCTTCAATTCTTTAAAGGCATCCATGTTCGGCACATATTTGGACATGGGTATATGGGATTATGATCCTATAAATGTTGGAAAAAATTTTGGGAAACTGAGGAAATTCATTTTAGATTAATTCCATATTCAAATTCAATCCCCAAGTTCAAGAATCATAGAAAGCATCCCATCACCTTAAACATTAACTAATGAAAAATGGTTATTGGACACATGTATTTGATCGGTGGTGTGAGATTTATAGGCATTTTCACTTGTAATGGCTCTAAAGATGTTCATCATAAAATTAATGTTAGGTGACAGACCTAATTAGAGACGGGTTTGATTAGTTCCCATCATTTCTATTCGACAAGATGTTTGTCTTAATAATACCATGTTTCTTTCACCTTTCAGCTCAATTGCTTGATATTGAAAGTAAAATGATTCCTTTAATAGTCACAATCTCTGGAAGAGTGGGTTCTGAGACACCAATTAATTGTGAGCATAGCAAATTAAGAGGTGTTATAGTAGAGGAAACGGTAATTTTTTTTAAGTAAAAGAGCATTAATTTTTTTTCTTTTATCCTTTTATCCTGGTTGCATATGATATTCTTGTTCATATATCTTCAGGCTGAACAACATTTTCTAAAGCACAATGATGCTGGTTCTTGGATTCAAGATTCTGCTTTGATGCTTTCTATGAGCAAAGAAGTTCCATGGTACCTGGTTAGAACATGTTTCTCTTCTTCATTTTAGTTTGAGTATTATTGCTGAAATTGTTTATGATTTCTGGGTTCCTTAGGTGGTGGTTGTTTGAAATCACACTTGAAGGAATTGTTTTTGTTGAATAAGAATTAAAGTTGTTAATGTAGCTCATTTGCTGAAAATATCTTTAAATTATTAATTATAGGATGATGGGACTGGACGTGCCTATGTAGTTGGTGCTCGTAGTGCAGCAGGTTTTGCACTAACTGTTGGAAGTGAAGTGTTTGAAGATTCAGGCAGATCAATTGTACGTGGAACGTTAGACTATCTTCAAGGTCTCAAGGTATTTTTTTTCTAGTCTTGTGTCCATTTATTGTAACACTTGCAGTTGGACTAAGCTTATTCGATGGTCAATTTTGTTTTCAGATGCTTGGAGTCAAGAGAATTGAGCGTGTGCTTCCCATTGGTACTTCCTTGACCGTTGTGGGTGAGGTATGTTCTGGATCAACTTCTGCTTTTAGTTTCTGATGATGCAAGAATATCAATGCAGATTCCAATGTTCAAAAAATGTATAAATATTATGAAATTGCAATGTTGTGCTAGTTAATATACTTGGTGCATTCAGCTTTTTTCCCTGCCAAGGTTTTGAAGTTGAAATTCTTTGATATAATTTGTATTAAAGTATCTTATGCATGGTAAAAATCAAGTCCCCCCCCAAGACCACCACACCGAACCTCCCAAAAAAACACCACAATGAACTTGCGGGTACTTGAGTTTTATTTTAATGTGGTCCACCCTGATTCATATATGATCCTATATGAGTAGAAGACAATGTTTCAATGTGGGTTGGACAGTAAAATCTTATCTTAAAACATTAAAAGCTCATTGCTGAAGCTGTTTGATCATAGTTTGAATGGAATCAGTATGAAACACACCTGGAGCTAGTATTTGACTTTGATCTTTGGCCCAGAAGACTTAGTCAAGGCCATAGTTTTTGCTCTGCCTAGATGTTTTAGTCTGCTGTTTTTGAGTTCATCATTTGTATTGAGGTTATATTGTTGGTTTATTTACCATTTCTCATTTTATCTCTCCTATATGTGGTAGGCTGTCAAGGATGACATCGGAACAATTCGTATTCAGAAACCCCATAAAGGGCCTTTTTATGTGTCCCCCAAATCTATTGATCAACTCATTTCCAACCTCGGGAAGTGGGCAAGGTTGTAAATATTCAATACTTGGGACATCTTTTTCACATGTTTACAAGTTTCGATGATTGTTTCAAACAATGAAGGTAACAGCTCTATTTTATCAGATTGTACAAGTATGCTTCGTGTGGACTCACCATATTTGGTGTCTTCCTAATAACTAAGCATGCAATCCGTTATATTTTGGAGAGAAGACGCCGACGGGAATTGCAGCGAAGGTATGCTTGATTAGTGCTTGTAGTACTTGTTGAAAAACACTTGAATATGAACTGACCAACATATAGAACAGCTAACATTTAATTGTATTCCCCCTGTTTAAGAGGCATGTAGTTACAAGCATCTGCTCTTGTTATTTTCTGTAATAACAAACTGAATCATAAAACTTTGTTCATTCAGGGTTCTTGCTGCTGCAGCTAAGAGATCAGGGCCAGATACTGAAGGTAATACACTGTCTAATGATGGTTATTGTTATGATTTTATCTGTGTAAGATGTTGGGATATGACAATAATATCTGTAGATCCAACTTTGAAAGCTGAAAATGGAGAAGAAACCAAGAGAGACTGCATAATGCCAAATCTATGTGTAATATGCCTCGAACATGAGTACAATGCTGTTTTCATTCAGTAAGTCCAGTAGTTACATTTTCTTAATTAATGCATATAAAGCTATCAAAAAGCCTTCAGTAGTCAGTACTAAGATCTAATTGAAATGTGCCAGTGCTGGTTCCAAAAGCATTATATGTATGTCTTCTTTTTCCGACCCCCCTCCCTTTTTGGGTTGTGACTGGAATCATCTAAGAGTTGTCTTAGACTACTTTACTCCTGACACTTTCTTTTTCCTTGAAGTACTCATATCCAACGCATATCCGGATTTGGGTACGGGGATATTATGTAACCTCCCAAATCCTTCAAATACATTAAAAAAAATAGAAAAGAAAAATTAACACAGATGTGTAATTTCTATATTTTGTTGCGGTAACACTTGAAGTCCCTGTTGCTCTTTTACAAGCCCAAGCCAAAGGCATTATGCCTCTTGTGATTGCTAGTTTTGTGGAGAGTATTAGTAATGTATAGATTCTTCCTTTCTATTTTTCTAGAATGTTTGATGATTGTTCATTTCAAACGTGGTTTTGGAAGTTCTGTTTCATGATACACAACATAAAATTATTGTCCATGAAAACTTAGTATTGTATAAAGTTTCATTGATATTGCTTATCATCTGCAGATGTGGCCATATGTGTTGTTGTACAGCCTGTGCTTCGCACTTAACCAACTGCCCCCTTTGCCGGAGACGTATTGAGCAGGTTGTAAAAGTCTTCTGCCATTGAAGTCTCGCCCTACGAGATTCAGGTTCATTTGGATCCCATACGGAAAGCATCCCAACCACAGCGGGAGTCGTGGTTTTGTGATCACAACCTCTTCAATAAGTGCCATGTTTATCGGCTGGGAAATGATCTTTATTTTTAGCCAATTATGCAAATCCCATCTTGCTGTAAGTTCATAACTTACTTGATAGCCTGTAAATATTTTATATTTATTTCTTTTAAATGTTTGGAATGTTAATTGTTTTTATTGTTGTAATTTAGTGACAGACTCGGATGTTTATTTTTTTTATAAATTTGTGCACTCCCTTAAAACACGTTTTCTGCTTAACCAGCCCACCTCGTCAAACAATTTCGGATCCAAGTACGTGTCTAATACGAGTATATTTGATTTTATTTATTTCAAAGGGCTACCGAGTAAAATTATATTTACAGTGATGCGAAATTTTATATAAATTTATAAATTGTGTCTAATTGTCAAAAAAGTATTTTTAATTATTATAATTTTTAAACATAAAAAACAATGATTTATCAACTGAATTGGTGTTGGGTTGATTTATTATACAGTCGTCTAGAGCACAGATCCATTATTTGCCTATCGTAAGGGGATAAATAAAATTGGTTCAAGAATTGATGGAAGCTTGTATTTCTTCTACGGTTCTTCCCTTTGTTTAAGGCACAATCCTGGCCACAAAAATGATGGAAGCCGCACAAACTCCGGAATAGAGAAAAAAGGTACCTGCTTCAACCAAACCAAACTTCATTGGATTTTTCTTAGACCAGGTAATTCAAGTGGTAAGCAGTTTGATTCCGCTTAAGTAAGACCTCAGGTTCGAGTTCTTGTGCATATAGAAAATTCCTGCTGGGAGACTCACCCACTAAACTAAGTGTGCGACGCGGGTCGGTCCGGATTAGTCAAGGGAAAGCCTTGAAACCAGGAGGGCAACTAAAAAATAAATATATTTTTATATTCATATAAGTTTTGATATGCTATAAATTATATTATATGAATTCTAAAACATTATTACATATATGAAGCAAATCAGTGTACCTGGAGGACTCCAATCTATGAGGAAATTGAAAGTGTAAGAAACAGCCCATGCACCAAACCAGTGTTCTAGATTCACCAGACTCCCGACTAGCCCCTTCACATTTATAGGAAATATCTACACCAATCGATTCGAATTCGAATCGATTATTAATAACAGTTTATAATATTCGATTTTTATGGGAAATATTCGATTTCGAATCCAATTCTTTTTAAAAGTGGGGTCCTAGTGCGTACCTCCGACACGAGGGGCCAAGGCGCAGCTCCCATTCCAATTGCAAATGAACCATCGAAGATCTGATTGCATTCAATGACCAAATTGTTTTGGTATGAAAAAATATTAACGATACATTCATTACAATGATATCTATTACCAGCAATCCACATAGTACGAACAATGGAGCCCATTGTTGAAGCATGCTGTGTTCCTGGATTTCCATATTTTTTTTAACATGAAAAACACCAAATACGAGGGATTGGTAGTTTTTTCTCCTTCATTAGAAATGATATTGCTGCAATAAAGCAGCCTAAGAACGTGCCTACTGAAACCTGCAAAGACATGCCGGATAAAAATATGTATTTAAGATGAGTATTTTTAGATACATATATCAAACACGAATATCCAAAATGACTAAATGAGCATCAGGGAACATACTAGCAGTAGGGGTTTTCTTCCACAGTTATCCACTAAGAATGCACCCACAAACTGTTATAGGGATCTGTACTAATTTATTAGTTCCACTACAACGCATAAAAATGGCTTCAAGAGTATGCGAATGGAATTCTACCAGAAGACGGCCAAAGTTATCTTTCCAATTTTCCCATAAGAAAAGCCTGAAATAGAGAAATGTTGCTTTGATTCACAAAGAGGATGTGAAAGCCATCAAAACAGGTTCATATAAATAAAAGAGTTAATTGCATCACATTCCAAAGCTACAACCTTCATTCTAAATTAGTCTTTAATTTTTTAATATTTTAATTTTATTCCCAAATTAATTTATGACTCTCATTTTAAATTAATCCTTAAACTTTTGAAAATTCTAATTTTGTCCCCAAGTTATGAGACTTGTTCTAAATTGGATCCCAAACTTTTGAATTTTTCAATTTCGTCCCTAAAATCATCTAAGTATCTAATTAGTTTCCACCATAGTTTAACCTAATTTTTTTTCAAATATAATAATATAGCTCGACCTAGCATTTTTATTAACATGGGATATGATTAGCATATATTGATAGTCTGTGATGAAATTTAAACGTTCAAAATGTTGGGGGGACTAATTTAAAATGAGGGTTATAGTTTAAGAATGAAATTGAAATATTAAAAAAATTTGAAGACTAATTTAGAATAAAAATCATAGTTTGGAGGAAAAAATTGAATGTTCAAAAAGTATAAAGGCGGATTTAAAGTGAGGGTCATAGTCGGAAGATGTCTAAAGAAAATGCGGTGAACCTGCAGAAGTGAAGGTTTCACTTGCACAGAAACTAGGGGTGACAATAAGGCGAGGCGGGGACGGTTCTCATTTCGTCCCCAACACTTGCGGGTACGGTCTTGGGGAATCCTCATTATATGTTTCGGGGATTTTTTATCCCTATACCCATCTCTTACGGATTCCTGCCGGTTTCGGTTAATCCTCATCCCAAAAAATAAACAAACATTTTTTAAATCAATATAATACCTAAAACTTGTAAGATAAATCAGATTGTCTCAAATTGGTATCTATATATAATATGAAAGTTTCAAACATTAATATTCATCTAACACCCAATGTATATGTACAATCTTAACATTTTCAATCTCAACAAATCAATGTATATTAAACGAGAAAAGATATAAACTTCAATTTTAGTTCCTTTGAGATGTAACAGTGGAAACATTTTAATCTCACAAATATCGAGGGTCCCCACGGTTATTTTTGTAAAATATCGGGGATCCCTACGATTATTTTTCGAGGATCCCCACAATTATTCATATGAGTACAGTTCGATTATCCCCACGATTCAGATATAACAATCTCTGTCCCCATCTCCATCCCCATTTGAGCTTTGGGGATAAAACTATCTCATCCCCATCCCTTGGGTGAAGATTTCGATTATTCTCATCCCACTTCCATATCCACATAAGAATCTTCCAATATCAAGTAGTAAAGCTCCCTGCCAACGTATCTCAAAATTTAATTCGATCATTTCGTACAATCATTCTTAAAAGATGATATTTGACTCGTTCGATAAACAAAACCTCGGAGAAGTAAATAGCTATCCATCCTGCAATGCTGAAGGCAGAAGATATTCGCATTGCCTGAATCAATTTTAAATATAATGATAATTGGATAACTATACTTACATAGTGATTTTCCTCGGTTTACCCCTTTTCGTCCTGTGGAGTCTGCAATTCTCCCACTTGTGATATCACCAATCATTGCACCACCATGTTCGAGAGAGTTGAGTTTATAGGTATCAGTTTATCATTCAAACTTTATTGAATTTTTTTAGTCGAATTAAATATATTTGTTCAAATTCAAGTGTAATTATTTATAATGTTATAGTATTGATTAGTTCTAATTTAGACGGCTCTCTCTAAACATATATGATATACATATATATTTTTCATATTCATTTTAACATGAGTAATAAAGATTTATAATGTTATTTAATATATCAAATATCATATAATTACAATTTAAAGATGAGATTTTAAGGATAAAGTGTTGATGGTAGCATAAAAATGAATAATTGATGGGAAGAAATAATTTATAAAAGGTTAACGATTCAAATCACAAAATAAATAAGTTGCTCGGCTAAAAACCAAAACAACGTTTTAGTTTGGTTTTTCAATTATTCAAACATGATTCAAACTCAAAATACAAAAAAAAAATTATTCAAATTCACTCAAATAACTTCTTTTAAAAAATTTTTTCGAGCCAAATTGTGTTTTACTTCTTATCCGCGCCTAATATTCGAATCTTATAGACGAGTTAATACTTAATAGATATATTCATGTTTTTCAAATTATTTTTATATATATATATATTAAGTTAAGATGATTATAAAATAATATATACTCTAAGTTAAGTTGATTCTTGCTAAACTATTTATGTTCAACGTATGTATTTGACATAATCACTGACTTGAACATAGAGATATAATTATTTAAAAATATTTTAAATATGTAAATGAACTTTAAAAGAATTAAATATATTAAAATTAAGTACATAGTTATATCTAACATTTATGTAATATCCGAATTCATTCATAATGATGATTGAAGGTTGAAAGCTAAAGCACAAACCTCAGATATAGATAGGCGAAGATCCTTAATGATAGCTGATTGAACAGGTGCTGAATATCCCATCTGTGGAAAAAATTGAACTAGGAAAGAGTCGATTCATTTCACCGGCTAAATTCGGCTTGAAATAATAAAATTATAATCTAGTTTTTAAAAAATATTTCCTTAATTCTGAAATAAATTTGAATTTTAAAAGTAAAATTCAATCAAGCCTTAAGCCTCAAATTTCTATGTAAACCTAAAATTTACTCAAAAATTAGGAAAAAAGATGATTGATTAGTGAAGGGTGCTTACAGAAATGCTAAATTCATAGGAGCTCAGAACTGCAACAAAAGTGTTTGGAAGAGCAACCTTCAATAATCCTTTGCTCTTACTTTCTCCGCCATCTTCAATTTCATGCTTTATATTTATATGTTGAATCAATGGCTCTTCCATCTCACTTCTCCCGCTGCTTTCGCCATTTTCCACGTCCATCTCTTAGCTTAAACCATGATCAAAGGAACTCAAAAACTTGAGATTGAAGGAGATGCTTTGATCGAACAAACTGAAAAAAAAAAAAACAGATTCGTTTGCTAGAGGTCCTACGCGCATTGGCATCTCTCTTTCTTTCTCTCTCTTTCTATGTATATATAAGAGTATAAATGTCAGGATAGTTAAATTACTGTATCGGATTCGTTTTCATTTATATATTGAAATTACAAAGATAAAAGACGCTATCGTTAGAGGCAGCTTATTAGTGGATACTAATGAATTTAGTTCTGGGTATCTAATTAATCCTGAATTTGAATTTCATTCAACAATTAATTTAAAAATTCAACTACTTTTTAGGGTAAGCAACAAATTTAGTATCTAAACTATTACTTTTGTTCTATTTTGGTACATAAACTTTATTTTATTTAAAAAATCATACATAATATTTATTTTATGTTTCAATTTAGTATCAACCGTTAAAAAATTAACATAATTGCTGATGTAATTTTTTATTTTTTAATAATGATGTGACATTACCTTATAATGATACGTCAATATCATCCTTAAGTTTTTAACAATTAGGTACCAAAATGAAGTAAAAATAATAGTTCAGACACTAAAAGTGTAGCTTACTCAAAACTGAAACAAAAGTATTAGTTCAGTACTGAAGTTTAGGTACCAAATTGAAACTTTGTTCACATATTTATGATTCTAATATTGAATTTGAATACTCGACATCAAAATTAAAGCGATGGTAAATTTAATTGAATTCATTTAACTTAATTTAATTGACTTGAAAATAATTAAATTAGAGGAATACCATCTTTATAGTTTATACAGGCAATGACAAATTTAATTCTAAAATCCAAAATTAAAAGGAAACTTCATATATGCATCATAATTAATGTTACAATGCACAAACTGGGGGGGGGGGTAATTAAGTTGACCCAACCCTATAAATTATCCCGTAAAATCTTCATAATATTGAAGTCACTGGTTAAATACTGATCTTTAACTCCAAAGCCATGCATACAACAAACACTTGCTTCCATCTTCTACTCGAGCCTCGAGCAATGATGGGTACACGGACTGGTTCGATACACACTTCTTGGAATTCGAATTTACGTAAGAATCAAACCTCGCGCATAAGAAAGGGGGCCGTCCTCGTCCTCGTCCTTCCACGTCATAGCTTTGTAAATTACAGAGTTTTAATCCTTGAATGCATAACGTTGTGTTCATATATACGCAAGTGAGCTCCGGTCGAGGTCGGGTTGAGGACGACCACGTGTTGGTGTTGGTGGTCTTTGGATGTTCAGTTCCTGCAGTACAGAGGGAAATATATTACGTGTTCATGTACTTGCAGTGGGCAGGGATGTTTTTATATATCAATATAAGCATTACCTGCATCCATGTGTCGTCTCCAACACGCTCTGGCGATGTTTCCGGAGACTGAATGGGAGGTGGCAAAGGATGTATTAATTTTGGGACGATAACCAGTCCCTCTACCAACGACCAATATGGCTCCGGCATTGTTTGCGGTACCTAGATGCATATATACTTAACAGATTAGGAAGCAGAAAATTTGCACCATAGGAGGTACTCGGTGTATTTTACTTACCACAATAGTTTGTAGCAGAAAAAAGAGTAATCAATTGCCCCTGAGCGAATCGCTCGAACCCGTCCATTACACATTCATGGGCTCTTATAATAAGCTGTAGCTTGTTTTTCTTACAGAAGTCTGTGACTCGATCCGGCTGCATACAGCAACGTGAATCATTGTAGGTTCGTGCACATGTATATAAAAATAGTTCAATCTAACATGACATGATTAGAGGAAGTGCGTGCGAGACTTAAACATGCGTTGTTTGAAACTCTGATCACGTAATTGAAACATCGAGTAAATTCGAACCAATACAATGTATGATCCAAAGGATTGCCTTGACACATTCAATAAACTAATTTACACATAAAACAATAACATGCATACCCCAAAAGTGACAAGACCAGGACCTCTGGCATTCGGTCTCAAGCCTTCTATGCTATCATTTTCTGTCGGATCAGACCTGAATAGGCGAATCAAGCCAAAATTAAACCATAGAAAGATTTATTTTAATTGGATGGGTAGATCCGAAAAAAGCATACCACAGCAAGTCCATCAAAATAATGGATCCTGCATCCATTGTTATCGGTCGCTCAAGTTTCTCTATTTGTTCAACCGAATGTATAGATCTTCCTATGCCACCATGCATGCAAATGATTTTCTTTCGATAAGAGCAGCAAGTGGAAGATAATTAAATAGTTGATTGAACCGCGTCCATGCCCATACATCATTCTCCCCCTACAAATAAATAATAGTGAGCACACTTTACTCGGAGAAGGTATATAATTAATCCACATATGCATACGGACCATTCTCTCGATGCACTCAATACGAAAGCCAAAGAGTGCATTTATGTCGGCAGCCTCATGATTTCCACGAATCAAGTGAACACTTTCAGGATACTCAATCTGTCCGATCATAACAAACAAGATAAAGGAATCAAATTAATTAAACAGCAAAGGTTGCAACCATAGTCAAATTTAAGGCTCATTTAGTCCGGAGCTTGCCTTAAGAGCAAGAAGCAATGTAATTGTCTCCAAGCTGTGCTGTCCTCGATCAACATAATCTCCTAAAAACAGATAATCGATGTACCTAAAACATAAATTTTAAAGAAAAACTTTCAGAACCAGTGATATCATAATAGGAAGCAACAGTAGGAAGTTTCGATTATAACAAGGAGTTATCTGATTCGCATGGAACGAAAAAGTAAACTTACGTAATATCTCCTGCAGTTGAAGGAAATCCATATTCATCAAATAGCCGCATTAGATCACCAAAACTGTCCATGAAGATCACCAAAGACTTTACTGGAGCTTTTAACTGAAGGACCGTGGGTCTTGCATAAATAGCTGTTCGGCAGCGTAACAGAGCTCACCCACTTCATAAGAATCCATGAAAAACCTCCTATTTACAGGAGCTTTCCAGTTCCGGGGCCTAAGCAATGTAGAAATGACCTGTAAAAGGATTGTAGATATTAAACAATATTTTAAAAGGTTTCTAATAGAAAACTAACTAATTCTGCTTGCCTTTTTATGCAAGCCCTGCGGAGACCTCTGTCTAGCAAACTTTTTGGTAGGGTAGGATAAGTCGTTATTAGAGGGAATCATCCTTCGGCTCATTTTCAAACTGGTCCAAAGATAGTTGTCTAACCATCCCACCCAGGTTCCCAATTGTCTCTTTGGCGACCACAACCTGTGTGGAAAAAAAATAAAAAGCATTAGAACTATGTAGCTGGACAATTAGAAAACCATACAAACAAGCGACTTGAAGTATACATACAGCTCGAGGATGAAGGCGAACATCCGCCTCATTATCACTAGCATCTGAAGCTGTTTCGGCAGCGGGTGAGTTGTCATCAGAGACAGATGTTTCCTCTGCCGGAATAGCAGACGCAGCCTGTGCAGCTAGCCATACGGCATTTGCCGCCTCAGCTTCAGCAGCAGAAGCCTCCCTCAGTTTCTCCATAGAATTTTTGTCCATGCTATAGGTAAAGATTAATCATCAATCGGTACTCCCACAAATGTTCACGTATGAGAGAGAGAGAGGGAGAGTCGTCGAGTCAGACCTCAAGCTAGCGGATGAAGAGAACTCTTGACCATCATCTGAAGTTGGCGATGTTCCAAATGGGCTTAAGTTTGGCTGGTTAATCTGGGGCTGGACAAATTAGAGGCTCTCTCGGGGGATAATATAGGTGAATTCATGTCAGACTGGAATGGTGAATTTTCTGCAACTAGGAAATCATCCAACAACATATCTGCAGAAAATAAAATAATTAATCATGGAAGCATTCACGGCTAGAATTGACGCACGGGATTAGATAGATGATCAAAACTATAACTTTTATTTCGACAAAAAAAGTCGAAAGCAAGCTAAACACATTGTCGCTACAAGGAGCAGAGCCGTTACACATCTGTGAGAGAAATGCACTCAAATTTTCAGGCACAACCATTTCCTTACCTCCTCTAAGCCCACCATAAATATATATTCGAACACCAACAGATGCAGATGCATGGCGACAACGGCGCATAAGTTCCAATGGATCATATTCAACATGTCCCTTAGTGTTCTTTGAGGAAGTCACAAGCCCATTCCTGTCCAACCATACTCCAGCAGCAGTATCCAGTACTACGAGACAAAGCGAATAGAGGAAATAAACTTATTTGAGATACGCACTACACCACTCTTCAGACAATTATTTCAAGATGAGAAGCAAAAGCTTACCTGTAACAGTTGCTTCACCTTCTATTGCACGTCCTCCTCTAAGCACCTCCAGTAACATGCAACCGTGCGCCAACAAAAACCTGGTAGAAAGAAAATCAGGCCGACTGTTTTTGAAACAAGAAAGTGATGCAGGCCTATAAAAACTGAATCTTATGTTCATAACAACTATATGCAATAGCAGTGGCATCAACTTACCGCAGCATGCTGGTACCTCGGTGAAGAGGAAACTCCAGGTGCAAGAGTCCATTCCCATTGACCATTTCTGTGCATAAGCAGCCCGAATGCATCTGATAGAGGCTGTTGAAGTTCATATATAATCAATAAAAACAGCATCTCACATCAGAAAACTGTTAGTGTGTTATATTTTAATGTAAAATAGAAATTACAGGAAACTGTAGCATCCAGTCTAAAAGTAGATGGGTATATGCTGTTCACGGCAACAACCCAAACATTGCAACTTATATTAAAATAAAGCACAAACAAATAAATAAAGCTTAGTGCAGGATGAACTTTAACGTCAACAGCTCAAGCCTACGTTATTTGGACTCCGGTTTGAGTACCAATTACAAGTTTGGGTCCAACACAAGTATGTTTAATAAAAATGAAGGGCCAAAAAGTCCAAACCAACAAAAAGAGCACATTCACTTCCCCCCCAGAAGTGAAGCAAACAACAGCAATGCACACATAAAGTACATATTTAATGAGAATTGATCATACCGCCCCAGAGGCATCTCTTCCGCCACAAAGCAAAAACATACCATCTGAGCGGGCACTAGCGGTTGCATACCTATA